CCACAACGCCTGGCCATTTTTTGGTTGCAGCCATCGTTGTTGTTTGGTGGGCCTGGGCTGGGGATTCGAACCCGCCACGTTAGGTGTATGTGGCTGACGCCTTAGCCGCTTGAGCCACAGGCGCCGAGCCGTGTACATAGTTTTTGAAAGAGAAGAAATTACTGTGAATTATTTATATAACTTTTAAAGAGAAGGGCTTACTGTTGACAATTTTTTTAAACATCTGTACTGGATTTTGTTATTTTTGTCAACAATTACATCTTGTTATATTGTAAATATAGACCCATTACCAGAGTTTTACTGCAGACTCTCAATTTTTTTTTTTGAGACAGATTCTCACTATGTCACTTTGTGTAGTGTACTCTAGTGTCATAGCTCACAGCAACATGAAACTCTTGGGCTCAAGCGATCCTTTTGCCTCAGATTTTCTATTTTTACTACTGATGGTGTCTTGCTCTTCCTCAGGCTGGTCTCAAACCTGTGACATCAAGCAATCCACCCTCCTCAGCCTTCCTGAGTGCTAGGATTACAGACGTAAACCAGCTTGCCCTGGCAGCATCTATATACCTTGATAAATATTTGTGTTCTCTTCATTTAGAAATACAGTTTTGGTGGATATAGTGTATGTGCTTTCAAGTTTTGTGTTTTTTTGTTTTGTTTTGTTTTTTGGCTCTTTGACTATATCAGCAACTGTTTTTTGATGTGGAAGGTTCGTGTTGATTAATCCACTAGTAATCTGATGAGCATCCTTAGTGATAACACATCTATTTTCTCTTGCTGCTTTCAAGATTCTCTTCTTGAGTGTGACTTTTTTTTAGAGACAGAGTCTCACTTTATTGCCTTCGGGAGAGTGCTGTGGTGTCACAGGTCACAGCAACCTCCAACACCTGGGCTTAGGCAATTCTTTTGCCTCAGCCTCCAGAGTAGGAAGACTGGGATTACAGGGGCCCATCACAATGCCCCACTATTTTTTTGTTGCAGTTCGGCCAGGGCCATGTATAAACCTGCCACATATTTGTGTATATGTGCATACATACTGTATGAATGTATGTGTGTATGTATGTATTTTTTTTTTATTCATTTATTTCAGCCTAAGTAATTGTCACCCTGGGAAGAGTACTGTGTTGTCATAGCTCACAGCATCCTCAATCTTCTGGGCACAAGAGATCTTCTTGCCTCAGCCTCATGAGTTGCTGGGACTAGAGGCGTGTGCCACCATGCTGGAATAATTTTTCTATTTGTGGTAGTTGGGGGGGGGGTTCACTGTTTGGGGTTTTGCTTTTTTTTTTTGAGACAGAGTCTCAAGCTGTCACTCTGGGTAGAGTGCCTAGGTATCACAGGTTACAGCAACCTTCAACTCTTGGGCTTAAGTGATTCTCTTGCCACAGCCAGGAGTAGCTAGGATTACATTTGCCCACCCCTACACCAGGTTAGTTTTTGGTTGATATTGTTTGGCAGGCTGGGGCTATATTCCAACCTTACTTCGCCAGTGTATGTGGCTGGCACCTTAGTGTCTTAAGCTACAGGTGCCAATCCAGATGGGGTCTCATTATTGCTCAGGTTGATTTCAAACACCTGTGCTCTAGTGATCCATTCACCTCAGTGTACTTGAGTTTGTGGATTAAATACTTGATCCAATGCTCTGTCTCTACATTATCTCTACAACTTTTGCTTACTTGTTGTGCTGCATATTCTTGCTTGGTTTTCACACTTCCCCAAAATGCAGTATATACATGCAACATTTATTTATCTTTAAGATAATTGGTGCCTCTCTACTGTATTATGGCATCTTCCTAATGTTCTTAACATGATTTTGCAGATAAAATGTTTAAGGTATATTTACTGGATTCTGAGAAAAAGGGAGTGGCTAAAATTGTTATTCTTTAAATTTCTTTCAGCTCTACCTAATCATTCTACCCAAGACCATTTGCAAGAGCTGGACACAAATATTTTATTTCCAGAGCTGATCCTGAGCAGACATCAAATATGTGGCCCTGAGAATTTAAACTTTACAAACAACTGGGAAGGTGTGTATGAATGTAAGCAGCAGAAAGTATGTTACAGTGGACTTGACAAATGTGTAACAGCTACCCATGGCAAAGTCTTCAGACAGTTGTCAAATCTAAATAGACATAACATGATATATACCTTAGAGAAAACTTTTACATGTGAAAAGTATGGGAAATCCTGTAAGCTCTGCTCACACATCACAGAACATAAGATAACAAATACTGCAGAAAAACAATACAAATGCAAAGAAGGTAGCCAATTCTTCCAATCTTGCTCAACACTCCATACTGGAGAGAAACTCAACAGGTATAAAAATGATGGCAAATGTCTTAGCCACAGATCAAAGTATTATAAACATAAGATTTTGAATACTGGAGAAAAACCTTACAAATATAAAGAATGTGACAAACTTACCAAGAAGTACTCATACATTGATGGCCATAAAAGAATTCATTCCAGAGAAAAACACTACAAATGTCAACACTGTGGCAAAGCTTTTAAACATTACTCAAGCCTTTCTGTACATAAAGTACGTCGTTCTGGAGGCAAATCATACAACCGTGGAGAACCTGGAAAAGCCTTTATCGGGCACGCACTCCTCTCTAGACATCAAAGAATTCATTCTGGAGAGAAACCTTACAAATATCAACAGTGTGGCAAAACCTTTAACCAGTACTCCAGCCTTTCTGTACATCCAAGAATTCATTCTGGACAGAAACCCTACAAATGTCAAGAATGTGGCAAAGACTTTAACGGGCACATGCAACTTTCTGTACATCAAAGAATTCATTTTGGACAGAAACCCTACAAATGTCAAGAGTGTGGCAAAACCTTTAACCAGTACTCAAACCTTTCTAGACATCAAAGAATTCACTCTGGAAAGAAACCCTATAGATGTCAAGAATGTGGCAAAGCCTTTAACCGTTACTCAAGTTTTTTTGTACATCAAAGAATTCACTCTGGAGAGAAACCATGCAAATGTCAAGAATGTAACAAAGCTTTTACCCGACACATGCACCTTTCTAGACATCAAGGAATTCACTCTGGAGAGAAACCCTACAAATGTCAAGAATGTGGCAAAGCCTTTAACTGGCACTCACAACTTTCTGAACATGAAAGAATTCACTCTGGGGAGAAATCCTACAAATGTCAAGAGTGTGGCAATACCTTTAATCACAGTTCATCTCTTACTAAACATAAAAGAATTCACTCTGGAGAGAAACCTTACAAATGTCAAGAATGTGGCAAAACCCTTACCCAGCACTCAGACCTTTCTGTACATCAAAGAATTCATTCTGGAGAGAAACCGTACAAATGTCAAGAATGTGGCAAAGACTTTAAGGTTACTTCATCTCTTACGAGACATCAAAGAATTCACTCTGGAGAGAAACCCTACAAATGTCCAGAGTGTGGCAAAGTATTTAAACAATCCTCACACCTTTCTGCACATCAAAGAA